GGTAGGTAGGTAGGTAGGTAGGTAGATAGATAGATAGATAGATAGATAGATAGATAGATAGATAGATAGATAGATAGATAGATAGATAGATAGATAGATAGAGTTTGATTTTGTTTATGTGGGGCTGAGCCTCATATCTTGATACTGTATGGTCAAGAGATAGAGCTATGGGATCTCCCCTCCCCTCCCCTGCCCCTGATATTTTAATCCCCACAAAGACAGCTTAAGGAGGTGGATGCCCTGGGAGGAGCTCTGGAAAATAGGTTGTGGTTGGAGGAATTAACAAGCTCCTCCCACTAAGCAGGTGGGAGGGCCAGGTGTGAAAAGCCAGAAGGCTTCTATTTTATGAGTTTAACTGTGGCTTCCACTACACAGTCCTCATTGTGTTTTTGAGTAAATTCATTAGGTGGAGTAACAATACATAGCATCTTGCCTCATACAGAATTTGACCTCCAGCCTACTTCTGAATGCAATTGGGCCCTTGGTCCTTGTTTGCATGGATCAGCATCATTTCTCCCTCTGCATCCCTTTGGATCTGGCCATCTTTACCTCACTTTCCTTTTCCAGAATGAGGCCCAAGTACAGCCCTGTCACAAAGCTAGACCCCAGGATTCAGATAGATTTGTCCAGAATCTCAAGCTGACATTTGTTTGTTTATGGAATGCCTCTCATCGTGGAACAATTTTCCATGAAAATTAAAAAGTGGGAAATGACTGGATATCTGCCTGAAGAAATAAATTGTGATGCTCTATCACAAATTGTGATATTGTCTGTACTGTCAAGGACAGGATAACCAATTCCTTGAACTCAGTTAATATTGGAAATGAAATATCCACATGCCAAAAAATTTTGAGACCTTGTTTGAAGATGAAATGCATTGGGGCACCAAGAAAATATATTATTTAGGCCCTTTGTTAATTGAATTGTTCAGTTTATGAAGTTGTAAAATACAAGTATCTGAAAAAAGTTTGTACTTTTTGGCCAAATCAACAACCCTAAAATGTGAGATTCTGCTACCCTACCTCAACACACACATAATACTAGTAGCTATTTACTCTGTGTGGTAAGGGGCGGAGTGAAAGAGAAGAGTCTGTAAAATGGTGGATTGTTTGCAAAGTCATCCGTTCAAACTAGAGTTTATCCAAATCATGTCTGATTTGAAACTCCTAGAGGCTTTTCCCCCCTGCTTAGCAATGCCGAGTTAACTTTTCCATTTCAAATTCTTTGCTTTTTAAAAATGTTTTCCATGCCTGTTGCAATAAAATGCTACTTTTCCTGCAGAGGATTCTGGCTAGAGATACAGTCTGTTCATATAGGATGCTAGTCAGACCTGTTAGCTTACAGAGGACATTAAGAGCCCTCTTTAGACTTTCCTAGAATACCCCAGGACTATTTTACATCTACATTGCTAGTAATGGATGAGAGCGATGGGTAAGTCTGGTCCTCGATACTGATCCCATTGTTGAGAAGCCATAGGATTCCCCAGAGCACAGTCTGTTTTTGAGTTTTTGCAAATATCTTGGTCTCTACACTTCATCACTGGTATACGGCCACTGAATTTCATATCCCTTCAGAAAATCGTGCAAACTTAAATTCTTAACTGCTCAGGCTTCATCTTCATGGCAATCAGCTGCTTATTTCATGGTAAGAATTTGCATATTTCATGGCAGAATGACTTGAAAAATACAGACTGTTTTACGATTATGAAATTAAAACTAAAGAGGCTAGAGGTAGGAGATGAATTTCACAGATCTTGTGATCATAAGGTAGGGGTGGAATTAATAAGAGTTTTAATTCCACTAAATTTATCTAAATGAGCAAACGTGCGTTTGTCTATGAGGGGCCAAGAGAAGGGGGAAAATTGTTTAAAATTATTCTTCTGTAATTTAACCGAAAGGCTGCAGAGTAATAAAACAAACTTTGCTTTTGAGGCAGGCCACGGATTCAGAATTCTGAATGTCTCTTCCCTGTAGGGGGGGAGGGAATTGCTGGGGGGGGGTTGAAGTGTGGAAAGTTTTGCTCACAAGCTAAGCTGCCGTTTCTTCTGTCTTCTCAAGGAAGAGTGATGACATATGGCATGCATTTAACTGAAAAGGGCTTAAAATTCTGAAATGCACGTTCTGCTCAAATTTCCTAGTCGGTTTTGGATAGATTGTTTTTTTCCTGTAAGATGGACTGAAAAAGTAACCAGAATGTATGTTTCTTTATTAGTGGAAATATGATAATGTATCTGCAACATACCTCTTGCTTCAATACAAGAAGGCTCGGGGCAAACCTGTTCGCCTGAGGATTCCTTCTCTGGCAGCAGAATGTCTGAGCATCACACCATCCAAAGAAGGGAAGGTATGTAATCTATTTTCACCCCTTTGCTATTGGTATTCCAATAATAATTGTCACAGAAAAAAAATAAATAACCTGTGTTTGCAATGTGGCTTGGTAATGCTCTGAATTGTGAACCATTAAGCCTGCCAGATATACAGTGTAAGTCATGGCAATATGGTATAATCAAGCTGTAGCTGTAAAATATGCAATCCAGGGCAATGTAGAAGACTCCAGATCCTGCTGTGTTAAAGCTAAGCTGTTTTAAGTCTTTCTTTCTTTCTTTTTTTTTTTGGTGCCTTGGAATCAGTCTTGACTCCTGGCAACTGCCCAGACAAGTCCCTTCAGTTTTCTTGGCAAGATTTTGGAAGTGGTTTGCCACTGCCTGCTTCCCAGGGCTGAGAGAGAGGGACTGGCTCAAGGTCACCCAGCTGGCTTCGTGCCTACGGTGGGACTAGAACTCACCGTCTCCTGGTTGCTAGCCTGGTGCCTTAAAACCACTACACCAAACTGGCTGGCTGTTTTAAATCTCGGTAAGGTCTAAATATCAAACTGTTTGAGAGCATTGTTCCCTTCTGGTAGGCCAACAATTTCCTAGGTTTAAAAAAAAGAAGAATAGGAATTGCAATTCTCTACGCACAGGGCAAAGATCTCACTGCATGATCCATCCTTATATCTGGTCAGTGATCAAGTAGGCTTCACTACAGTAATTTGCAGTAAATAAAAACAGGACTTGATGGGATGTGGATGAGAATAATATATAGACTCCTTGTTAACAAACGAAACGATACTGAAGCAAAAGTGACAGTACCTAAAAGGCTGGATCACTGCACCGTGGGACCTTCAGAATCAGCCATGAACAGCTGTGGGTTTGCATTCGTCTATAGATTATTTCTGAAACAACTCTTTGAACAGATAAAAAAGGCCCTGACTTACGAAGATGGTCTGGACAATAATGAACTGCCCTATGTACTTGGCTCCATGGAATTTCTAACGCCTTGTGAAGAAGCCCAGCCTATGTTAGGAAATACACCCAGACCTAAGCAGGTATCTATACATATTGACTTTTCTACTCAAATTTGTTCTCTCAGTGGTGTATCTGAGCCATGTTTAGCTTTAGGATCACACTCTTTAGAAAATAGAATCAACGTGAATGTTTTGCTTTATATGAAAGTGCTTCTGTACAGTATGTATGCATTGTGTATTTAGTTGACTCATATCTTGCCTCTTCAAGGCAGCATACATGCCACTCCCTATTTTTCCCTACAGCAACCCTGTGAGGTAGCCTCAGCTGAGGGGGAGAGATTGGTCCTGGGAGCTTCTATGGCTGAGGGTAGATTTTAATACATGGGATTTCCCACTTCTAGTCCAACAGCCCTAACCTCTACACTGTGATGTGCAATTGTATTGCTTGACATACTCCAGTTTCAGAGATGACAGCGAAAAAGAGATTTAGGCTGGTGTGATAAGTTATAGCTTAATAACAGAACACCCAATTTCCATGGGAAAGATCAAAGGTCAGATCCTTGGCATCTCCCAGCAGGAGTGAGAAATTCGTTTGCAACTCTGGAAAATACTGAACTAGACAGACCCATAGATTGACTGACTGTTAATTCAAGCTTTCTATGGCTTCTCAAGGAGCATCTCAAGTCAGGATAAGTAGGTATCTTATAATCAGTGCCTGGATAGGAGGCCAGCTGTAAACGGCACTTAATTTTCTTTTAGAAGATTGAGGTAACAATATGCAGAAGTATATTTTATTTAGGTATTATTGGGGCGAGCTGGTTAATATGATGCAAGAGCTAAATTGATCTGGAAATAAGGGTGAAAAGCCTCTGAAGCTATCTTTGTTTCTTCAGAGCTCTTAGCAATGTGTTGTTAAATTTCAGCAGTAGGGCCAGTCGGTCACCAGATATCAGTGGCAGTTTCAACATGCCAAAAAATTTCTGTCTACAATTGCACAACCCTTGTGGATTTACTAGACCATTCCGGTCAGTTTTGTAGGGGGCAGAATGTTCTGTGGTTTCATACTCATACTCTATGTTGCTTGTATGTTGCTGCCAGATGTAGATTAGATTAGATTAGATTAGATTAGATTAGATTAGATTAGATTAGATTAGATTAGATTGAGCTGAATTGGTCTCGCCACTGCTGTCTGTTCTGAGGTTGTATGCCAGTGTTCCTGTTTTCTCCATTCTTCCATCTGAGACTGATCCAGAGTGACTCTGCAAGAGACATTCTGAATTCTAGGAGCTGGGCACTCTATTGTCCTCTGATACAGACCCCTGCAACTAATACAGAGTTGAAATTAACACTGATACAGAGCCAACTTGTTTATCTGTGAATGAAATGGAACTTGAGCTTGTTCAACAGTGGCAGTAGGCTGCAAGTATCTAGGATTTCTGAGTTGTGAATAAATGAAAGCATCACTGTTCTTCACATGAAATCAGAAACCCTTTGTCTAAATATCTTTTATTTATTTATTTTAAGAATCTGAAGTTCCAGGACGGGGGAGAGTTCAGTTCCCCTTTGCTTTCTATACCAAAGGGAGGAGCATCAAAGAAACGTGCCAACAAAGAGAATGCTGGCGCTCAAGGCACGCAAGCAGAGCCCTTTGTGTTTCCTCCACTCAAGACGCCTACTTGGGCCATGAATGAGAAACGAGTGCTGACAACTCCCAATTATGCTCTTCCACCTGAGGGTATGATTTGTAACTATGGAGAATTAATGAATTCGACTGAGAAGCTTTGAACTGGCTAGATTGAGCGTGGACTTGAGGACAAGCTATAGCTGACCTATACTTGTCCTGAGGCTACTATTGAAAATGGCATCCATATGTTTGTTTGTTTGTTTATTAAATTTGTCACCGCCCATCTCGTTAAAAAGCAACCCTGGGCGGTTTGCAGAGAAGATAAAATCAATTAAAATACAATATAAAAGCAGTCTTAAATAAATAATCAACAAATTCCAAAGATGGATGAAATTGGCGAGTAGCCAATTGTTGAGTCTTCATGACCCATAGAGAGTGTACATTTTATTTCAATACTAGGTCGATGCAACCAATCCAATCACTGCTGTCAAATTTATTTTCAACGCACAAAAGATTTATTGGTTGGGACCATTTACCTCTATTTCTTTCAACCTCACTTTCCTGTAAAATTTGCAAAATAGCTTCTTTTAACCCTCCTTTCAAAGCCTGTCAGGTCTTTCCGCCTCCCGTTCCATTTTTTCATGGGCTTAGTTTGGAGCTGATATCTTGATTCATTTTCTTCTGGGATCACCAACCGTACCCAGTCCTTACCCGATCAAACGTTCTTTGTTGACTCAAAACTAACTTTTGTAAACGAATAAGCTTGGGTGTAAGAAGAAATGGTGAGGTATCTTTCTAAACCTACTGATTCAAACTTGAATGGTACTTCTTGCAGGGAGAAATCCAGCCGCCCAACCAACGCCAGTAAATGCTCCCATTAAAGCAGATGAGCTGACAGCTGGTGTCATTAGCCCTGAGAGAAGGTAAATGTCCAGCAGTTATTCCAGTCTTAATCCTTATATTGATGAGAAAAGTGCTTTTTGCCAGGTATCAGTGCTTGCTGCGTTAAACTTATTTAAATCCTTTCTTACATTTACCAACAAATATTAAAAGGCTGTGGGTATTTTTTTTTTTAAACATTACACACTTCAGCAGTCTTGGATGCATTCCTATTTTCCATCATTAAAATTCACTCTTGTGCCCCCAGAGAATTGGAGCGTGTGTATAGTTCTCTCTCAAAATCCCAAATTACTGTTCTGTAGCAAGTCCTCCTTTCTTCGTTCATTTCTTCCACATCCTGCTATTGAAACAGAAACAGGAAGGCCCGTTGTTGCTGTAGCTGAAGGGACCAGTGTTGAATCCAATCACATGTGTGCTGTCTCTCATTGTGACAGGTGTCATTCACTGGACCTGGACTTAAATCAGGTGCATGTGGAAAGTGGTCAAAAAAGGAAAGGACCCAAAATGTTTGGGAGCCTTGAAAGAGGCTTGGATAAAATGATCACGATGCTTACCCCCAATAAAAGGAAAGGTTCCGCTAAAGAAGGCCCAAGGAAGTTAAAGGTATGTTTGTCAATCAGACTAATTCAGACTAAATGTATTGCAGTGATCAATGGAAACAGTTGATACCAATCCTCATTTTGGCTGCGGATCCCCAATTATGAAAGTGGTTCTTCAAGAGAAAGGAGACATTTTATCGGATAGTAAGACCCCTCTCACTGCTGACACAATCTTTAAAAAAACGATCAGGTGGTTTCTTGTATCTGAGACTAGCTAGCTTGAAGGACTTTTGATCCATGATGCCAACCTTTGCAGGCTTGGAATAGCTACTGTATAATGGGCTAAGCACACTGCATTTAAAATATGAAGCAAAGTTGCCTTGTTTTCCAAAACTTTTTCCTAGCATGCATCTAGCAGAATTGAACTGTTCTACGCCATCAGTAGATTTTAGCATGTTCATTGCTGAAAGGCAAAATTCAGAGGGCAAGGTGCAGATTTAAGTTCAAAGGTGTTGTGCTCCAGAATTCAGTTAGCGCAGATTCAGCACAGCTAAATACCTTTATATTACCAAATAGCTCTTGCAGCAAAACTTGCCTGATCAGGCTGCTGCAGAAAAGCCCAAATATAGGCCAGTACATGCCAATCATGCCATATTTGCTGCATTTTCAGCTCCGATTGAAATGTCCAGGCAAATTGGAAGAGGTATGTGATCATTTCAGTTGGAGCATCTAGAGCGGTGGTTGTCAACCTTGGCCACTTTAAGTTGTGTGGACTTCAATTCCCAGAATTCCCCAGCCAGCCACGCTGGCTGGGGGGTTCTTGGCGGTGAAGGCCACACCAGCTAAAAAGGCCCGGGGGGGCAAACAATAAAAAATAGGGTTTTTTTTCTTA